TCAATAAAGAAATATATATATATATATATATATATATATATATATATATATATATATATATGCCGGGACCATTTTGGCTCAATGGATAGAGCGTCGGCTTGGGGACTGAAGGGTCCCGGGTTCGATTCTGGTTAAGGGCATGTACCTTGGTTGCAGGCATATCCCCAGTAGGGGTTGTGCAAGAGGCAGCTGATCGATGACTCTCTCTCATCGATGTTTCTAACTCTATCTCTCTCCCTTCCTCTCTGTATAAAATCAATAAAATATATATATATTTTTTTTTTGATAAACAAAAGCCAAGTTTATTGTTCATTTCTTGCACTTGAAGTACTCCTCGATGACATCCTTTGCCTGAGACTCTTTGCCATAGTCCTTAACCACCACGCAACTGCAGCCAACCACTTTACGGGGTTTTCCCTCTCTGTCGATTTTACAGAGGCCTACCCATTCCCCTAGTTTCTTGTTGTCGTCAACCTTGATGAGGTTGATTTGGTGTTCAGCACAAAGAGCCTCCACCAACTTGACGTACATGGGCTCATCACAGTTGGATGCAAGTACACAAAGGTGGGCTTGGCGCTTGTCTAAGGCTTTGGCGGCTTCGCGGATTCCGCGCGCGAGGCCGTCGTGGATGAGGGCGGTCTTCAGCACCTCTTGCAAAGCAGTGTTAACGTCCATTACACCTCCAGCAGCAATGCCTTCCTCGGCCATGGCGGTGGGTTATGGGTAGAGCCGAATCTTGAACGCACCCAAGACTCCGCCTCCGCGCAACTCCGCGGCGGCAGGGAAAGATAAAATATATATTTTTTAAAAGAAATATGTGTGTGTGTGTGTGGTGTGTGTGTGTATTTTTTTTTTTTAAAGCCCTGAACGGTTTGGCTCAGTGGATAGAGCATCAGCCTGCGGACTGAAGGGTCTTAGGTTCAATTTCAGTCAAGAGCATGTACCTTGGTTGCAGGCACATCCTCAGTAGGGAGTGTGCAAGAGGCAGCTAATCAATGTTTCTCATCGTTGTTTCTAACTCTCTATTCCTCTCCCTTCCTCTCTGTAAAAAATCAACAATACATATTTTTTTTAAAAGAAAAAGAAACCACCACATTTTTGTGTTGCAAAGAATCACCTATGGCAGCTCTCTCCAAAGCCTCTCTTGAACCCCCCAGACAAGCTACAGCCCCCACCTCCACCCCATGGCTCCTTTATAGATGACTGGTGACTTCCGTCTTGCTAGCGCGAGAGGTCCGTTCTCAGTCTGCATCAGACTTGGCTTCTAGCAAGCATTTGCCACCCACCACCCTCCCCTCCTCCTAGATTTTCGATCTTCACTGGGCCTCCAGGTTCTCTAACTCCTTGGTAGCCCCTCCCAGCCTCCTCTGCGGACCCCAGGCCTGGCCTTCTTTTCTACCTACAATGGCTCCCTGGCTGACCTCTCCCAGCCTTAGGGACTGACAGGGCATTTATTCACTGACAACGTCTAAATTTCTATCTCAGGACTGAAGCTCTTCCCCTGAAGTCCAGACTCAAATATCCAACTGCCTACCTGACATTTGTATTGGGGAGACTAATGGACACCGCAAGCTTAGGCAAATGTTAACTCCTGATCCTCTTTTTTTTTTTTTAATATTAATATATTTTATTGATTTTCTTACAGAAAGGAAGGAAGAGGGATAGAGAGTTAGAAACATTGATGGGAGAGAAACATTGATCAGCTGCCTCCTGCACACCCCCCACTGGGGATGTGTCCGCAACTAAGGTACATGCCCCTGACTGGAATCGAACCTGGGATCTTTCAGCCTGCAGACCGACACTCTATTCACTGAGCCAAACTGGTTAAGGTGAACTCCTGATCCTCTTGCAGCTCTGCCCACCATTGCTTCTGGCGGCTGCATTCTTCCTGTTACTTAGGCCAAAGACACTGGAGTCGGCCTGGACTTCTGTCTTTCTCTCACTTCCATGGGCAATCCACTTCACCTTGCCTTCCCCACTACCACCTGGGTTGGAGCCACCATCACCTGAACCACGGCAGTGGCCTTCTCGCTGGACTCCCAGCTTCCATCCTGGTTCCCTGAAGGCAGGTCCCCAGAGGAATCTTACTGAGTCCTTCCCCAGTGCAGGCCCCGCTCCTGGCTCTCACCTCATGGAGGGTAAAGGCCTAAGTGCTAGCAGGGACCCACAAGACCCTGCGCCATCTGGCTCCCCACCCTGCCCACCCCTGGCTCCCTCCATCCCCATCGGCCTCCTAGATGCTCCTTTAACACACCAGGCAAGTCATAGCCTTGGCTGCACTTGCTCTCTCACCTGCTTCACCTCTCTACTTAAATATCACCAAAACTGGTTTGGCTCAGTGGATAGAGCATGCGCCTTCTGACTGAAAGGTCCCGGGTTCAATTCCGGTCAAGGGCATGTACCTTGGTTGAGGACACATCCCCAGTAGGGGGTGTGCAAGAGGCAGCTGATCAATTTTTCTAACTCTACCCTCTCTCTTCCTCTCTGTAAAAAAAATCAATAAAATATATTTTTTAAAATAAAAATAAATGTCACCTCTCTACTTATTTCTTAAATACATTTTTTTAAATTTTTTACAGAGAAGGAGGGAGAGGGATAGAAAGAAACATCGATCAGCTGCCCCCTGCACACTTCCCACTGGGTATGTGTCCGCAACCAGAACCGAACTTGGGGATCCTTGAGTCTGCAGGTTGATGCTCTATCCACTGAGCCAAACCGGTGAGGGTTCACCTCCCTCTTTAAATGTCACCTCTCTACTTAAATGTCACCTCTCTACTTAAATGAGGCCTCCCCTAAACTCCCCAAGCCCTTTCCCTTCCATTTTCTTCATAATACTTATCATCTTCTCACTTATATGCCTATTTATTTTGCCAGTGGTCTTATTCTCCCAAGTAAAAAGTGAGCACCATGAAGATATAGGTTTTTGTCTTTTGTATTCCCTGCACCTGGAACTGTGTAGAGGTTCAATAAACATTTGTTGAATAGATGAAGCACTGCTGGTTGAATGACCTTGAAGTCTCCTGCGGACTACTAAATTACAGCTCACCCAACCCGTCTTCTAGATTAGTTCCTGCTTCTGTACATTTGCTTTTTAAAGTCATACCCGCGCCAGGATCGCCCTCCCTACGGAGGAGGCTCTCCCTCCGTCTCCCTCCCTTGCCTCATGAAGGAAACGTGTGGATAGGGGAGCCCCCCAGGCATGGATGGAAGCTTTATGCGTTGCCATAGTTATTGCGCCTGCCTGGAGCATCATATTCCCAGGGTGCTCCGCCCCTCCGGGGAATAGGTGGTTAGCGGATTCCGAGTGGTCCCGCGCAGGGGTGAGTAAAAGGAGGCGACAACCCGTTTTTCTTAGGAGGAGCCCCCCTTTCCACCCCACCCACGCAGTTGTCATAGAAACAAAGCGCATCCCTCCAACGCCATCTCCCTCCCTTTTCTCATATAGAAACACACACACACACACACACACACACACACACACACACACACATATATGCATAGTTATTGAGCTGGGTGGGCTGCAAGTCCAAAAGGCAGGAATGGGCCAAACCGGTTTGGCTCAGTGGATAGAGCCTCGGCCTGTGGACTGAAAGGTCCCAGGTTCGATTCCTGTCAAGGGCATGTACCTCGGTTGCGGGCACATCCCCAGCGGGGGGTGTGCAAGAGGCAGCTGATCCATGTCCCTCTCTCATGGATGTTTCAAGCTCTATCCCTCTCTCTTCCTCTCTGTAAAAAATCAATAAAATATATTTTAAAGTTTTTTCTTTTTTTCAAAAGGCGGGACGCCGCTGGGTCCCAGCGCTCTCCTCCAGGTCTCCCCTGCCTCCTCCGAGGCTTGCTGCGCCTGCGCATGGCCGCAGCCTTGGGTACCAAGGCTAGAGGCAGGGGGCGCGCATGCGTGAGGCAGGGTTTTGCGCGTGCGCCGTGGTGGCACCGGAGGCTGCGGCGGGCGGAGGCTGGCGGGAGGCGGCCCTGCGCCTGCGACGACGTGGGCGGGGCGTGAACCCCCGGCGGCGGCCGGGGCATCGGGGACCCACAGGCGTGCGGTGCGCCTGCGCCGCGGCTCTCCCGGCTGCGGGAGGCGGGGTCCGGAGGAGGGGGAGCCCGGAGAGGAGCAGGGGGAGGGAGGGAAGAGGCCGCAGAAGCCCGAGCCTTGACCGACGGGCAGGCGGGGGCTGCGGCGGCGCCGGTGAGTGACCCCGCGGCCCGACTCGGTCCCCACCCTCCGCGACCCTCACTCTTGCAGGAGGCCCCCCCCCCGCCCCAATAGCTTCGGTTGTCCCCCCGCCTAATCCCTGACTCCCATTGCCCCCAGGGCGCCCCTTAATTTCCAGCAATCCCCGGAGCCCCCCCGCAATCTCTGCAGACCCCAGTTCCTAATATGCCATCGTCCCAGCCCCACTGACCTAGGAGCCCCCCAACTCCCCGTTATTCCTGCTCATCCCTCCTCGGAGGACCCCTTCTCCTAAAGGTCTCACGGACGTCCCATTGGCCCGGAACCCCCAGAGCGCTCCTCTGCTCCAGACCCCCCCTTCCTGCTGCATCTCCCCTCCAGCATCGTTTACCCCCATGACTCTTGTGCTTTGTCGACCCCCGAAACACCCCCATCCTCCTTCCACTTTCCCTGCGCCCCCATTCTCCTCTGACTCCCGCAGACACCCCCTCTTCCGCTTTTCCCCCTTTCCCTCCACCCCTCCAAAGCCTCCCCATCGCCATCCGCTCCTCCTCGGCTTGGCACTTTGCGCCTCGCGGGCAGGAGAGGAGCGCTCCGCGGGTGTCCGCTCGGACTGCCCGCCCCCCCACGGCCCATCGCCCCCCGCCCCCCGCCCCGATCCCCGGCCCCGGGTGCTTAGGAGCCGGTGTCGCAGCGGCAGCAGCCGGCCGGGGTGGGGTTGGCGGCGCGGGGACGCCGAGCCCCCCGCCAGCGCGGTGCGCCCTGTGCCCGCAGCGCCGGCGCCCCCCATGCGCCAGGCGGCCGGCCGGCGGCGTCGGGGGGCGCCATGGCCTCGGCGGCGGCGGTGGCCGAAGCGGAAGAGACCACCCGGCTGCGCAAGCCGCGCTTCTCCTTCGAGGAGAACCAGATCCTGATCCGGGAGGTGCGCGCCCACTACCCGCAGCTCTACGGCGCGCAGAGCCGTCGGGTGAGCGTGGCCGAGCGGCGGCGCGTGTGGGACGGCATCGCGGCCAAGATCAACGGCATCACCAGCTGGAAGCGCACCGGCCAGGAGGTGCAGAAGCGCTGGAACGACTTCAAGCGCCGCACCAAGGAGAAGCTGGCCCGCGTGCCGCACTCCACGCAGGGCGCCGGGGCTGCAGCCGAGGACGCCTTCTCGGCCGAGGAGGAGACCATTTTCGCCATCCTCGGGCCGGGTGTGGCGGGGCCGGGGCCGGGGCCGGGGGCTGGGGCCGGGGCGGAGCAGCCCCCGGCGGCGGCGCCCCCCACGCAGCCGCTGGCCCCAGGTGCTTACACCCAACGCTGTGTGTTGTCCGAGGACCACCGCAGGGAAGACCGAGGGGCAGGTGAGTGCCTTCGCCATCACCTGTGTGTGATGGTTAGAAGTCTGCTGGGTGCCTGGCACGGGTCCCAGCCCTTGAGGTGGCTCCTCAGATTCTCACTGCAACCCCGTTAGGTGGATGCTGTCATCATGCCAATGTTAAACCTGGGGAAACTGAGGCTCGGAGAAGTGAAACGGCTTGCCTCAGGTGCCACTGCTAGTGACTGGCAGAGGCAGGAACAGAACCCAGACCGAGGAGGCCTGGCCCCAGAGTCCACACTCAGAGTCCTTAGCTCAGGCAGCATTTCATTTCTTTTTTTCTCTTTTTATAAATTTTGTGATCTAATCCTTTTTAAAATATATTTTTATTGATTTCAGACAGGAAGGGAGAGGGAGAGAGAAGCAACAGTGATGAGAGAGAATCATTGATCGGCTGCCTCCTGGGGATGGAGCCCACAGCTCATGCCCTTGACCGAATCCCAGCCAGGGACCCTTTGGTCCGCAGGCCAATGCTCTATCCACTGAGCCAAACCAGCTGGGGCTCGAGCTGCAGTTTGCCGACCACTGACCTAGAGAATCAATTCCAATAATTACAGGCTGTTGTTGTTCCTTGTGATTAAGTCCCTATCCCAGTGGTCGGCAAACTCATTAGTTAACAGAGCAGCAAACCGCAGCTTTGGAGCCGCATGTGGCTCACGAGCCGCAGTTTGCCGACCCCTGAGCTAGGGCAGGCACCATTTCAATTAAACGTGTTGTGGGGTAGTGACTCTGGAGGCAGACTGAGCTCCAGTCACAACTTTGCCACTCAGCTCTGTCATTTTGGGTAAGTTAACTGCAGATCAGTTTCTGCATCTGTAAAATGGGGATAAAAAGTAGTTGCTACCCAAAGGTGGTTGTAAAGATTAAGTGAATTAATTTGCATAAATTGCTTAGAACATGGCCTCTTGAATACTCATTATTAACTTTTTTATTTTATTTTTTAATATATTTTATTGACTTTTCACAGAGAGGAAGAGAGAGGGGTAGTCAAAAACATTGATGAGAGAGAATCATCAATCAGCTGCCTCTTGCACACCCCCTACTGGGGATATGCCCACAACCAAGGTACATGCCCTTGACCGGAATTGAACCTGGGACTTTTCAGTCCACAGGCCAACACTCTATCCACTGAGCCAAACCGGCTAGGGCTAGGTTATTCTTTTTTTTCTTTAAATATATTTTATTGATTTTTTTTACAGAGAGGAAGAGAGAGGGAGAGAGAGCCAGAAACATCGATGAGAGAGAAACATCAACCAGCTGCCTCCTGCACACCCCCCACCGGGGATGTGCACGCAACCAATGTACATGCCCTTGACCAGAATCGAACCTGGGACCCTTCAGTCCGCAGGCCCACGCTCTATCCACTGAGCCAAATCAGGTAGGGCCAGGTTATTATTTCTTATACAGTATTCCCCAGGCACTGTCCTCTGCTGGGCAGTGTTGGGGACACATTGAAGGTCAGACTTTGGACTTCATCTTCAGGGCATTTGGGAGTCTTAAGCAAGAAAGAAACACAATAATTTGGACCTTTGATCTTAGTAGTGTGAATCAAACCTCAGTGTTTCTGTCTGTGGCTGAGACATCCTCTGGCCTGCCCTCCTGGGGCTCCCAGTCCAGTGGGGAAGACAGACTCATACATAGTCAGGGATGACTCCCAGCTGACCTAGCCTGGGAGATCAAGGAGGGCTTCCTGGAGGAGGAGAAATCAGAGCTGAGACATAGAGTGAGGATGAAGGGCCAGGAGATTGTTCCTGGTAGAAGGCACAGCATGTCCATTGGTTTGGAAGCAAGAAAGATTGACCAGTTCAGAAACCTGAAGTCTCCCCGTTGAAGAGAGGAGAGGGAGCGTGGAAAGATGGAAGAAGGGAGATGTTTTGAGATGAGGTTTGAGAGGTCAGCAAAGACCAGACCCCGCAGGGCCTTTAGGCTGGATTGAGGAGTTTGAATGTTCTTAAGTGCTGTGGGAAGCCACGGGAGGATTTTGAGGAAAGAGGGACAGGATCAAACCAAGCAGTTCAGGATCATGTGACTCAAAGAGGTTCCTTCACCCACCCAAGGTCACACAGCAAGTAAGGAGTAGAGTTAAAACTGGAATACACGTGTGTGCAACTCACAGTCCATGCACTTAGCAATTGGGCTAGATTGCCTGGCAATAACAACCATCAGTATGACTGCAAGTACTGAGCATGCCAGCATTTGGTCACACATGGCTTGCAAGTGAAGGCCAGGCTTTTTTTTTTTTTTTTTTAATCTCTTTTTTTAAATATATTTTCTTATTGATTTTAGAGAGGGAGAGGGTTAGAGAGAGAGATAGAAACATCACTGATGAGAAGGAATCATTGATCGGCTGCCTCCAGCACGCTCCCTACTGGGGAATCAAGCCTGCAACCCAGGCATGTGCCATTGGCCGGAATCGAACCTGGGACCCTTCAGCCCACAGGCAGATGCTCTATCCACCAAGCCAAACCGGCTAGGGCTGGACTTTATCTTGAGGGCATTTAGAAGTCATGAAAGTGTCTTGAGCATGAGAAAGACATAATCACTTGTGGCTCTTATTCTCAAGGAGAATGAAAACTCAGTGTTTCTATCTGTGAAATGGGCCGATTGAACTGGAGCGGACATGCTAAACTTGTTTTTTTCAAAACCTGTGCAGCCCCTTCATTCATTCATTCAACAGATGCTTATTGAGTACCTTTCTGAGGCAGGCACTGTTGTAGATACCGGGAATACTGTGCAGAAAGACAGTTTTCCTTATGAAACTGACAGACCACAAACAATCCAACGTGGATCACATAGAGGAGGTTATGAGAACTAAAAAGAAAAATAAAGCATTCAGAGGATTGTGAGCGATGGAAGGAGGGCTGCTTCGGAAAGGGTAGTGAGGGTCAGCTTCTCGGAGGAGGTAAACTTTGCACAGTAACCTGAATAGAGAGATTGAGCCAAGCGGATGAGTATCTGAGGAAAGCACTGCATCCAGCTAGAGGAAACAGCACGAGCAAAGGCCCTAAGGCAGGAATGTGCTTAAATCTCCTTGATCAGAATAATGTACCGAAGACCCACCATGTCAAACTCAAAAGAGAGCCGAAACCGGTTTGGTTCGGTGGATAGAGCGTTGGTCTGCAGACTAAAGGGTCCCGGGTTCGATTCCGGTCAAGGGCATGTACCTTGGTTGCGGGCACATCCCCAGTGGGGGATGTGCAAGAGGTAGCTGGACAATGTTTCTCTCTCATCGACATTTCTAGCTCTCTATCCCTCTCAATTCCTCTCTGTGTAAAATCAATAAAATATATTAAAAACAAAACAAAACAAAAAACCTCAAAAGAGGAACTGAAGGACTGAAACAGCCGGGGGCTGCCTGAGGTGTCTTTGTTGACACTGAGAGAGAATTAGGACCATTTCTCTCAGACCCAAGAATTCTCCATAACAACATGGAGAATTCTCACTGTGTGTCCGGCACTTAATCAGGGGCCAGCGGTGAGTCAGTGACTCCGAGTAACGGCCGTCAGGAAGATGATCTGTTATGGAGGCCCTTGGTCCCAGGCACTCACACACACCCAGTTACAGGTAGGGAAACTGCGGGTCAACCTGGGCAAATGGGACCTTAACTCCGGTGAGCCCTGTGGCTGTGGGGAGAGGGCCTCTCTCTCAGTCGACGAAAAGCCCTATTTTCAAGTGGCTGCAGTTCTCATGTCCTTCCGAGTGAGACTCACCACCCCCAGGCCCACAGCCGCTGCCCAGGGAGGGGATAAAAGTGTGGGCTCTGGAACCTACCTGGGTTCCAGTCCCTCTTCTACCATTCGCCAGGCCTGTGGCACCTCTCTGGCCTCAGTCACCTAATCTGTAAGATGGGATGATAATGGGAGCACCGATCCCGGAGAATGGCTGTGAGGACTCTGCAATACCTTGGGAGGACAGCGGAGCCGTTTTGCCTGGGGCCGGGCCTGATGGAAGGATGGGATGGGAGCCATGTAAGAGGGGGGATCAAGGAGTGTCTTCCCAAGGAAGCCACCTGGGCACAGAGGCCTGAGGAGGCGAGGGAGGGAGCCAGGCAGGTCGGTCTGAGGAAAGACCTTTCCAGGCCAACGAATGGCAAATGCAAAGGCCTTGATGCAGGAGCATCCTCACGTGAGGATCAATGAGAAGGCCAAGGGGGCGGAGCCAAATGAACAAGATAAAGGCAGTGGGGAGGGAGGTGAGGTGTGGGAGGCAGAGGGGGCCGATCATGCAGAAACTTGGGGTCTTTGAGGGTTTTCCTTTCTCTGAGTGAGACGAAAGCCACAAGGCTTGGAGCTGACAAAGACAACATCTGACTTGTGTGTTTTTAAAAATATATTTTATTTGATTTTTTTAACAGAGAGGAAGGGAGAGGGATAGAGAGTTAGAAACGTCGATGAGAGAGAAACATCAATCAGCTGTCTCCTGCACATCTCACACTGGGGATGCGCCCGCAACCGAGGTACATGCCCCTGACTGGAACCGAACCTGGGACCTTTTCAGTCCACAGGCCGACGCCCTATCCACTGAGCCACACCGGTTAGAACTGACTTGTATTTTTTTTTAAATATATTTTATTGATTTTTCACAGAGAGGAAGAGAGAGGGATAGAGAGTTAGAAATGTTGATGAGAGAGAATCATCGACCAGCTGCCTCTTGCACACCCCCTACTGCTGATGTGCCCGCAACCAAGGTACATGCCCTTGACCGGAATCGAACCCGGGACCTTTCAGTCCGCAGACCGACACTCTACTACTGAGCCAAACCGGTGCCGGCCTGACTTGTATTTTTTAACATCTTCATTAAGCTAGAATTCCCATACCATATAGCCCGCCTGCTCCAAGTCAGTGGCTTTTCCCATATGCACAGAGTCTGCAACCATCACAGTCCTTTTCAGACACTTTTCTTCACTTGAGAGAGAAACTCTGCACCTCTTAGCCATCACCCTCTGCCCAGCCCCCCATCTCCACCCTGCCCTAGGCAGCCACTAATCTACTGTCTGTCTCTGCAGAGGTGCCTATTTTGGACATTTCATAGAAGTGGGCCACGTGACACGGAGTCCTTTGTGACTGGCTTCTCTCCTGTAGCATAACTGACATGTATTTCAGTTGGACCCTTGAGGCTCTTGCGGAGAGCAGCCTGTCAGGGGCAGGGTGGAAGCAGAGAGCCGGTGAGGAGGCAGCTGCCGTGGTTCGGGTGGGAGGTGATGGATGGACCAGGTGGGGGCCGTGGAGAGGTTGGGTGCTGGATTCGTGTGGAGGCAGAACCAATGGTGTTTGTCTATGGGTGGGGTCTTGGGAGAGAAAAAGAGGAAAAGGCTTTTGTTTTGTTTTTAAATATATTTTTATTGATATCAGAGCGGGAGAGATAGAAACATCAATGATGATGTCGAAACCGGTTTGGCTCAATGGATAGAGTGTCGGCTTGGGGACTAAAAGGTCCCGGGTTCGATTCCAGTCAAGGGCATGTACCTTGGTTGCGGGCATATCCCCGGTAGGGGGTGTGCAAGAGGCAGCTGATCGATGATGACCCTCTCTCATCGATGTTTCTATCTCTCTCTCTCCCTTCCTCTCTGCACAAATTTAATAAAATATATTTTTTTTAAAAAGAAAGAAAGAAAGAAAGAAAGAAAGAAAGAAAGAAAGAAAGAAAGAAACATCAATGATGAGAGAGAATCATTGATTGGCTACCTCCTGTACGCCCCCTTACTGGGGATCAAGCTCACAACCTGGGCATGTGCCCTTGACCAGAATAGAACCCGGGACCCTTCACTTGAAAAAGACCGCATGCAGGCCAGTGCTCTATCCACTGAGCCAAACCGGCGAGGGCAAGAGGAAAAGTTTGTGGCCCGAGAGAAGGGTCCAGGCTGGGCCTGGTAATCTGGGAGCCTCTGCTTGTGGACTGTGTTCAGGTTGAAAGGATGGAGCTGCCATAGCCACGATGGGGGTGGCTGGGGGAGGAGCAGGCTGGGAGGACCAGGAGCTCAGCTCCGGGCAAGTGAGCGAGAGGCATTGGTGGATGATCAACAGGGTATGCGGAGTCCACAATGGAGAGAAGAACTGTGTTCAAGTTCATGAGCATGAATGAGACCCCAGGGGAGATGAGATGGAGGAAGCCCAGCAGGCCTGGGGGTGCCCTGGTACAGACCAGAGCCGAGGTTGACATCCTGGCATCCCGGTAGGAGACAGCCCCTCCTGCCAGCCTCCAGAAGTGCCCCTGCTGCTCCGGCCACCACCCCTCTCTCCCGGGGACCCAGCAAAGAGGTCTGAGAAGTGCGGGGACAGAGTATCAGATGGTCTGAGCCTTCCAGATTCTAGGTTGGCTCTGCCTGATTCAGTGGGAGGCCGGGAGGCCACCAGGTTATCAGTCTGAACGCACTGACTCTGCAGAATGCAGGCTTCTGTTGCAAGGCATGATCTGGCAAGTCTTAAAGGTGGCTCTGGGGCTGAGGTGGGTGGGAGGCGGAAAGGAGAAATCCAGACAGCATCGCGGCGTCATGCACACCTTCCCAAATCTCTCTCCGCAGACCCACCAGCCCACAGCAAGGGGGGCTCCAGCAGCCCGGAGCCCTCAGCCCGGCCCTCCTGCAACCCCCCGGAGAGGGGCTGCCCGCCGCCGCCCAAGGAGCGTGAGTCCTCGCCCCCTCCGGCCCTGCAGACCGTCCAGCTGCCCCGTCTGGCCTTGTCTCCACCGCCCCCAGCCCCTCCGGCACCCCAGCCATCGCAGCAGGTTCAAGGGGCACCCTCGCCCACCAGTCCTTCGCCCCCCTTCCTGCCTCTGCCTGTGCCCTCGGCCCCAGACCCCTCCCTGGACTTCCTGCGGGCGCAGCAGGAGACGGCCAACGCCATCAGGGAGCTGGCTGGCACCCTGCGGCAGGGACTGACCAAACTGAGCGAGGCCCTCAGCGCCCTGCTGCCCCTTCTGCCCGGAACCCTAGCGGACCCACCGCCCCCACCTCCGCCCCCACCCCCCAAGCCTGTCCTGCCTCCACCTGCCCCCAAGGTGGAGGGCACCCCAGAGCCCGTGTCCGTGGTGGCTGCTGTCGTGGACCCGGCCAAGGTGGCAGCCAGGGGGGTGATCGTCGCCCTTAGAAACGAGGAAGGGACCCCCCGGCCGCCCCCGACCCCTCCTCCTCCTCCTCCCCATGACTCCCCCCCACACAAGAGGAGGAAAGGTTTTCCCACGCGGAAGAGGCGAGGGCGGTGGAAATCTCCGTGAAACCTGCCATTGGAGTCAAGCTCGTCTGCACTTTCTGCCTGCACCGCCTCTCCCAGCTTAGCCTGGCGGCGGAGGAGGGCCATGCGCCTTCCCCGTGCCAGCTGCACCCTGGCTCCCTGCTGCAGGGGTGAGCGCCCCGATCCCCGTACTAGTTAGTGCCTGATTCGCGGGGGCCCTCACTGATGGGCCCCCCAGCCCCTTGTCCAGTACAGCGCTGTCTGCCTGGCTGCTTCCCTTAACCCTGACTTCTAAGCCATCGGTTTTATGTTCTTTTGTACCGCCCTCGCTGGGCTGCAGAGGGAACCTCGCAGAGGGAATCTGCACATCCCCCTCCCCTAACCCCCTCCTGGTCTTGACTTGAAGAGAATTGATCTGTCGGGGGCCTCCCCACTTCCCAGTCCAGACTTGGGAGGGAGTGGGGGCGGCGAGACAAATCAGAATGCGGATGACTATGAGGATGCAGCAGTCTGTACTGGGGGGGAGGGGGGAGTTGTCACCGGGAGGTACAGGTCGGGCCCTCTGCCTCCCATGGCCCTCTGACCTCCGGAACTCAGCCCCTTCCTTTCTCCTCAGTGGTGATAAGATATCAATAAACTTATTTTTAATACAATCACTCGAGACTCCGGCTGAGACAGGCCTGGGATTTCAGTCCCTACACCTGCCCCTCCCTCCCATGAGCTGGCGACACACCCTTGAAGTTAGAGGCTGGAGCCTTTGTTAAAACTGTCGAGGCCAGCATTCGAATGTTATTCCTACTTACTCATCCTTCAGACGCCACCGAAATGTCATTTCCAGCCAAAACCGGTTTGGCTCAATGGATAGAGCGTCAGCTTGGGGACTGAAGGGACCCAGGTTCGATTCCGGTCAAGGGCATGTACCTTGGTTGCGGGCACATCCCCAGTAGGGGGTGTGCAAGAGGCAGCTGTACAAAATCAATAAAATATATATATAAGTAAAATAAAAATAAAATTAAAAAACGCCGTCGGACATGGGACAAATGGTTAGAAATTGGGACGTCTGGTCACCTTTAGAAAAAAGAAAAAAGAAAAAAGAAATGTCATTTCCAGCAAAGCATCCTGGAGCCCCTCCCCCCTAGGATGGGTCTGCTACTTAATAGGGTCCCCAATTGAAGAAGTGCTGTGAGCTCCTTAAAACACATTTCCTCCCTAGTTCAAGAAGGCAGGAGCTGATTTTTTAAATTATTTATTTCTTTATTTAGTATAGCAAAGGTGGGAATTTACTGAGAAACAAGCACAGACTCCCAGTTGGAGAGGGGAAAAGAGTCCCAGCAGCTGATTTTTTAAAAAAATATATATTTTATTGAGTTTTTACAGAGAGGAAGGGAGAGGGATAGAGAGCTAGAAACACTGATGAGAAACATTGACCAGCTGCCTCTTGCACACCCCCTACTGGGGATGTGCCTATAACCAATGCATATGCCCTTGACCGGTATTGAACCAGGGACCCTTCAGTCCGCAAGCCGATGCTCTATCCACTGAGCCAAACCGGTTCCAGCCCAGCAGCTGATTTTCTTACTCTGAAACCTGCTGCAGAGCCTGGAGCAAAGCAGGTAATATCCACCTTCCTGGATTCATACCTGGCTCCACCCCTGGTGTGCCCTGGCCAGCTATGTAACCACAGTCCTCCATTTTCCTCATCTGTAAAATGGGCATCTTTTGGTGTAGGAGGCTTTATTTTCTACAACTAAATTCTACTTACCTTCCAGGCCTTAGCTCAAATAGCACCTCCTCTCCCCCAGCAGTTACCCAAAAATGAAGTTAATCATCTGAGCACATTTAAATGGCAGGTCTACCTCCCTCACTAGGCTGAGCCTTGGCAGGTCAAGGCCTGAGTCTCTCTTGGTCACTCCTGTGTCCTCAGCATTACCTATGCTGAAGAGGAGTTGAATCTTTGAAATAATGGGCTGCTTAAAAACAAACACTTCACTTACAGTGCTGCTTTCTGGGCCAGGCACCATGCTTAGCATGCATAGGCATGTTTGCATCTTCACCTGAAGGTAGCCAGTGAAAAGCAGAATCTAGAGGTCTCCGTTTTGGGGGTTTTTTTTCCCCTGAGTTTAGGAACTAGCCTTAAAACTTGTCAGGTGCCAATCCAGTCCACCTGAAGCTGGCATCTGGCCAAAATTCTTGTCTGCCAGTAGAGTTTGCTAGAGAATGACCCAAATGCAATTTTCAGTAATACCTGGTGTCCCTTTTATAATAATTGCAGATGCACCTTTAACTTTTGTAAAAATGTAGATAGCACAGAGCCATGATTTGTGCACATAACATTGCTGAGGTTAAAGCAAAAGGAGCCCTTTCCAAAGTATATAATTTCAGAGAGGGAGAGAAACAACAATGATGAGAGTCATTGAGTGGCTGCCTCCCACATGCCCCACACTGGGGATCAAGCCTGCAACCTCAGCGTGTGCCCTGATGTGACCTCCCGGTTCACGGGTCCACAGTGCTCAACCACTGAAGCACACCAGCTGGGCAAGGAGTCCGTTTTTCACAAGTTAGAGGCGGGTAACAAAACCAGAGCTGCTGTGCTTGCAGCTGGATGAGGGAGAGGAGTAGGCAGCCCCTGATCAGTAAACATAAAAGAATGCAACGCTGACAATAAACTATTTTGGTGTTCTTAAATTGGACCCAGGCTTAGGAAGAGGCTAATGGAGGTTAGGACTTAGAGACCTGTCTTCCCTCCCACCCCCACCCCCCCCCCAGCCCTCACATCAGTTAGTCTGGCACTATTCCCAACGACTAGAAGAAAAAAGAAAAAAAAAACATGGACCAGAAGGTCAGGGTTTGATTCTTGGTCAGGGCACGTGCTGGGGTTGCAGGCTTTATCCCCAGTAGGGGACCTGCTGGAGGCAGCCAATACATGATTCTCATCACTGATGTTTCTATTTCTGTCTCTCTCCCTCTCTGCAATTAAAAAAATTTTTTATAAGAAAAAACACGGGCCGAAACCGGTTTGGCTCAATGGTAGAGCGTCGGTCTGCGGACTGAAAGGTCCCGGGTTCGATTCCGGTCAAGGGCATGTACATTGGTTGCGGGCACATCCCCCGTGGGGGGTGTGCAGGAGGCAGCTGGTCGATGTTTCTCTCTCATCGAGGTTTTCTGGCTCTCTATCTCTCTTCCTTCCTCTCTGTAAAAAAATCAATAAAATATATTTTTAAAAAGAAAAAGAAAAAACACGGGGGCCGCAAAGCCTGGCGGGGCCTATCAGGTAGTAGGCACTCAAGGTTGTTGAAAGGTGGTCTGGCGCTAGTTCTTCTCAGAGACTCACCCCCACCCCCACCGCGACTCTTGCTCGCCATCTCTGGCCCCCTCCTCCTCCCTCCAATTGGGGAGCAGTAAAAGGAGGTGATCCCCTCAACTCCATGCTCCGAAAACACGGGAGAAAGCCGCCCCCCACCCCCCCAACACCACCACCACCAAACTGACGGGGGTGTCGGAGGTAGGACAGCCTGTGGGAATAGGGAAGGCCTCCCCGAGACCTCCCAGGCAGCGGAAGTGCGTCAGTTTGTCCGATCCGCAAAGCATTCTGGGGGTTGTAGTGAACTTGGAGGCGGGCGGAGAAACGGACGTGGTAACCCTTTGGACGCCAGAGCGCGCTGTCGGAGCTGGAACAGAGTTAGAGGGCAGATGAGGCAACTGAGGCAAAGGCCTGAGCCTCTCTTTGTAGCTGGCTGCTGCTGGGCCGGCTCAGAGGCTGATACCCGGGAGTCTGAGGAAAACAAATGCCAAGTGGATAATCTCCCCCCCACCACCACCACCCAATTGCCAACTTCCCGTCCCCTTCCCAGAAACCATCCAATCAGGGCCCCTCCACCCCAACCCAGGAGCGCCTGCCTCCTTTACTGGCCATTGGTTTACCTTTGACGGGCGGGGAACCCAGTCTCAGAGAGGGCAAGGCCGGTGCTTAAAGCTGCACAGCAATTCGGAGCAGAAAGCGGACGCCCGGAAACATGTCTGTCTCCTACCATTTCTGGGTTCGTGCTACCTCTGACCATTGGTACCACATCCTTACCCCCAACTCCTGTGCCCGAGCTCCTCGCAGCGCGCCGACCTCCCTGCCCTTTTGGAGGGAGGGAGTGGCAAAAGGGATGCGCGCGGCAGGGAAGCGACGAGAAACTCCCCCCACCCCCCCTCTCGGCCGCCGCCGCCGCCGCCGTCCCCTTTAAGAACCGGCCCCGGCGGGACTACGTTTCCCAGAAGGCTTTGCCGGCGCGTTATGTAACTTTCCCTGCGAAGCGGCCTCTGGGGCAGAAGAAGGTGGAGGCGGCGGCGGCGGCCGTTGCAGTGGTGGCGGCGGCGAAAGCGACGCGAGCGGCGGGAGCCTGAGGGCGGCGGCGGCGGCGGCGGCACCCGCGGCCCATCCCTGGGCCCCAGCTGTGCGCGCCTCGGCCCCGGAGCCCGGACCGGACGGGGGCGCCGACGTGCCTCTGTGTCTGCCTTTCCGAGGAGGCGGGAGTGAGGAAAAAGGCTTAGGGCCCAGGGGGCGGGGAAGGGGGGCCGGGCCTGGATCCGCGGGGAGGCCGAGCCCGAGGCCCGACTGCGGCTCGCGCTTCCCGGGGACGCGACTAGAAGGAACGTCGTCGTCGTCGTCGTCGACGGCGGCGCAGCGGCGGCGGCGGCGGCGGCGGATCGAACGCCGGCGGCGGCGGGTGGAGCGCGGGGGCCGGGCGGCGGCGGCGGCGGCGCGCGCGCGCGCGCGGGGGGCCATGGCGTCGGTGCAGGCGTCCCGCCGCCAGTGGTGCTACCTGTGCGACCTGCCCAAGATGCCGTGGGCCATGGTGTGGGACTTCAGCGAGGCCGTGTGCCGCGGCTGCGTGAACTTTGAGGGCGCGGACCGCATCGAGCTGCTCATCGACGCCGCCCGCCAGCTCAAGCGCAGCCACGTGCTCCCCGAGGGCCGCTCCCCGGGGCCCCCGGCCCTCAAGCACCCCACCTCCAAGGACCTGGTTTCTGCCGCCGCCGCCGCCGCCGCCGCGCAGGGACCCCAGCTGCCGCCGCCGCAGGCCCAGGCCCAGGCCTCGGGGGCCGGCGGCAGCACCTCGGGCCAGGACCGCTACGACAGGGCCACCTCGTCCGGCCGCCTCCCGCTGCCCTCGCCCGCCCTGGAGTACACGCTGGGGTCCCGCCTGGCCAACGGGCTGGGCCGCGAGGACGCCGTGGTGGTGGAGGGGGCGAGAAGGGCCTTGCTTGGCTCCATGCCCGGCTTGGTGCCCCCCGGGCTGCTGGCAGCTGCGGTGACGGGCCTGGGAAGCCGAGCCCTCACCCTGGCACCGGGCTTGAGCCCTGCCCGCCCCATCTTCGGCTCCGATTTCGAGAAGGAGAAGCAGCAGAGGAATGCGGACTGCCTGGCGGAACTGAACGAGGCCATGCGGGGCCGAGCGGAGGAGTGGCACGGGCGCCCGAAAGCCGTGCGGGAGCAGCTGCTGGCGCTGTCCGCCTGCGCCCCCTTCAACGTCCGCTTCAAGAAGGATCACGGGCTGGTGGGCCGGGTGTTCGCCTTCGACGCCGCCGCCCGCCCGCCGGGCTACGAGTTCGAGCTGAAGCTCTTCACCGAGTACCCCTGCGGCTCCGGCAACGTGTACGCGGGCGTCCTGGCCGTGGCCCGCCAGATGTTTCACGACGCCCTGCGCGAGCCCGGCAAGGCCCTGGCCTCCTCGGGCTTCAAGTACCTCGAGTATGAGCGCCGGCACGGCTCCGGGGAGTGGCGCCAGCTGGGAGAGCTGCTCACCGACGGGGTCCGGAGCTTCCGGGAGCCGGCTCCCGCCGAGGCCCTGCCCCAGCAGTACCCGGAGCCGGCTCCCGCTGCCCTGTGCGGCCCGCCCCCGAGAGCCCCGTCCCGCAACCTGGCGCCCACCACCCGCCGCCGCAAGGCGTCCCCCGAGCCCGAGGGCGAGGCGGCGGGGAAGATGACCAGCGAGGAGCAGCAGCAGCGACACTGGGTAGCTCCGGGCGGTCCGTACTCTGCCGAGACCCCCGGGATGCCCTCGCCCATCGCCGCCCTGAAGAATGTGGCTGAAGCTCTGGGCCACTCCCCCAAGGACCCCAGCGGGGGCGGGGGCCCTGGGCGCGCCGGGGGTGCCAGCCCCGCGGCCTCCTCCACGGCCCAGCCCGTAGCCCAGCATCGCCTGGTGGCCCGAAACGGGGATGCCGAAGTCAGCCCCACCACCGGGGCAGAAGCTGTCAGCGGGGGCGGCGGCGGCGCCGGGGCCACCCCCGGAGCCCCGCTGTGCTGCACCCTGTGCCGGGAGCGGCTGGAAGACACCCACTTCGTCCAGTGCCCCTCCGTGCCCGGACACAAGTTCTGCTTCCCCTGCTCGAGAGAGTTCATCAAGGCGCAGGGCCCTGCCGGCGAGGTGTACTGCCCCAGCGGGGAGAAGTGCCCGCTGGTGGGCTCCTCCGTCCCCTGGGCCTTCATGCAGGGGGAGATCGCCACCATCCTCGCTGGAGACATCAAGGTTAAGAAAGAACGGGACCCCTAGACCACCACGGCCACCAGCCTGCTGCCCCCTGTCCCCTGGCCACCCACCGCTGCTGCGGATAAGTTATTCCCTCCCTTACCCAGCCCAGTGCCACCCCCGCCCGTGTACATACTCCCGTCCTCCTCCCACAGGGGTCCCCTGGGGTACACGCATTGAGGGTGGGGGGAGAAAGCCCGTGGCCTCTGTCTGAGGGCGGTGTTCGGGGTCCCTCGGCCCCTCCGGTTTCCCTTTCCCCTCCTTCGCTTGGCTTCGCTGCTGCTCGTAGTTGGGGAAGAGGCGGCCCCTTCCTCCTGGAGAAGGGCCTCCTGGACATGTCGCTCTTATCAATGAAGCAAAAGCATTTATCGCTCCCTCTCCTGCCCCCTGTCCCCCTTCAATAAACCGAAACATGGGTTTCTTTTCCTTCGTGGTCCCTCAGTGTGTGAGCTGCTGCGCCCTCTTTGGGATGGGACTGGCCCTGCAGGGAGGATGCTGATTGTGTCCTCCAGGTGTCGCTCTTTGCCCAGGCAGGCCCACTGGCGAGCCTGGCAAATGCCCGCCCTGGTCATTGCCTGCTTTTCAGGTGACAAAACAGAGGCTGCGGGGAGATGGCCGTGGCATGGGAGCCATCGCCACGCTTGGGGATTAGATTTCTTTTCAGGTGCTTCTCCCGTATTTACCGAGAACTTAGGGGGAAGGACTCTGTCTGCCGAGAGGGGAGGGGAGGTGCATCAGGGGGCTTTTAGGAGGGATGGGAGCGAGGCTTGCGGGCAGAGTCAGAATTGGGCAAGATTGCTAGAGGGACTTCCATGAATAAGACGGACCTACATGGGTCACTAATGGGGTCCTTGGAAGCACGCTGGCTGCTGCTGGCCTCCTGGGGCGCAAGAGGCAGGCGCCTGGGAAACCTGAACTGGCTCCTCGTGTGCATCCGGGGAGACCAGCCTCAAGGGGGGCCATCCTAGAACACTCACCGGCCGGGGGAAAGCACCGCCCCCCATGCTCCCCCCTCCCATTCCCCCTCCCTCCCGCGGCCGCCTTTGATGTGCCAGGCCTTGTCCCGCACCTGTCAGGTGGGCTGATCATTAACTAGGACTTCCTGCTCGCTGACGTCAGGGGGCAGGGCCTGAGCAGGCTGTGGCAAGGCAGGGGTTAAGGGGAAGGGGCAGCCCCAGAAGCCCAGCCCCCACCCCAGCGGCCTCCTCTGTGACCCTGAAGTGGCAATTCCGGGGAGGGGAGGGGGGATGCCGGGCACAAAGGCGAGAGGGTGGACAGTTGGGGGATGGTAGTCCTGCCACTGAGCAGCCCTGTCTCACACTGAGACCCACGGTTGCCCCATCTCAGGAGGCCAGGTGTTAGTCACTAAATCAGGAAAAGCCTAACATTCGGACCTGGGTCACTCAGGTGTCGCACACACACATCTTGCAGACCATATGCCCCAACCTCCAGATATTGGGGGAGGGGGGTCTACACCTTGAGCTCTTAAACCCCCAGTTCTTGGACTGAGGGTTCCCTCCCCCTCCCCCAGCCATCAGGTCTCAGGTGTTCAGTCACCCTGGCACTGCCAGCCTGGGCTCTGGGCAGGGCTGGGAAAACCACCCCTGGTTAAATACACCAGGTGATAAGCCCGGGGCAAGTGAGACTGGATGGAGCTCCCTGCTTATGCACCCCTCCTGGCCATCTCGTGGCCTCCCGGACACAGCTCTGCAGACCCAGGCACTGGGTGGCTCCCCTCCCCCGTCCTCGGGGCTCCAAACACCAGGGCCCTCCTTCTCCGCGGGGCCAAAGAGCTGTGGAGGACACCTGGTCCTTTAAGAACAGCTGGTGGGTGGGTGGGGGGGCAGGGGAGTCACCCCCAGCCTGGTCGGTGTGTGTATTCTAGATAGAGGTGGGTTAACCATTAACAGGACCTGACCTGTGTGGGTGTGAGGGGCTGGATCGGCCCCCCTCCCCCCCACACCAGGGTGGGTCCATAGTGAAGGGGAACTGGATGTATTTGGGGATCGTGAGGAGGTGACCAGGCTCTTAAAGACACACAAAAGAGACTTAGGGGAGAAGGGGAGACAGCAGGTGGCAGGGAGATGCAGAGACCAGCTTCCTGAGAGAAGGCACACCTGGAGGGACCAGGAGAGCTCAAGAGACCATCTGAGATGAAGGGGAGGCAGAAACGAACTTCAGAAAAAAGAAGCGGAATATCCAGGTCCATGGATATTTCCAGAAGAAGAGAAATAGCCTGGCGCACAATAAAGATAGAAGGAGGGGAAGAGAGACTAAGGTTGGGAGAGGGATAAAGAGCCCCTGAGATGGACACCCTGTGAAACCGAGAAGGAGCAGGATTGAGCTGGAGAGTTTTGTGCGCGGCGGGGACAGAATGGAGCTCTGTGAAGGACAGGCTCCATCTGTTTTGGTCCCTTGGTCCCCTGCAAAGGCCTGGCCAACTCCTCCCCCGCCAGGTCTCAGCTCAGCTGACACCTCCTCCAGGAAGCCCTCCCGGACCTCCAGGCTGCATCAGGTGCCATTTCTGGGCCCTGACACTTCTCATCTCCCAGCCCTGCTCCTGTTGTGGCTGGGGGCTCAGAGACATAGAAATAGAGGCTGGGACTGAGATGGGGCTGAGAGGGACAGTGACAGAGGGAGAGAGAGAAGCTTACAAAGTGTAAGAGGAGAGAGGCAGAGAGAGGCCCGGGGTTTGACCTGGCAGAGGAGGAGGCTGGCCCACGAGGAGACAGAAGACAGTGAAGTCACCACTGTGTCCCCGCAGCCCAGGGCCTGTCCCCTCCCGTCAGTGTGTACAGCACCCACCGAGGGACAGACACCGCGCTGGGTGCTGTCGACACAGCCGGGAGCTGACATCCGGGTGAGAGATACGGGCAGACCCAGCAAATGGGACAGCCGTGGCTCAGTCAGTTGGAGCATCGTGTCCCAAACACCAAAAAGGTCAAGGGTTTAATTCCCAACTGGGGTGCCAACTGGAGGAAACCAATCAATCGATGTTCCTCTCTCACTAGAATCAATACACATATCCTCAGGTAAGGATTAAAAGATAATAAGCCAGCCGAAACCGGTTTGGCTCAGTGGTAGAGCGTCGGTCTGCGGGCTGCAAGGTCCCGGGTTCGATTCCGGTCAGGGGCATGTACATTGGTTGCGGGCACATCCCCGGTGGGGGTTGTGCAGGAGGCGGCTGGTCGATGTTTCTCTCTCATCGAAGTTTCTAGCTCTCTATCTCTCTCTCTTCCTCTCTGTAAAAAATCAATAAAATATACTTTAAAAAATAAAATAAAATAAACCAGAGGAAATAAAATAAACCAGGGGACGATGGGGGTTGCGATTTCAAGAGGGAGGGAGGGAGGGAAGGGCTCGCCGAGAAGATGGCGCTAAGAACAGAAGCAGGTAACGGGGTGAACCAGGAGGAATCTGGGGGAGCAGCGTGTGCAAAGGCCCCTGGTTTGTTCCGTGCGGCCGCTGCAGCGATGGCAAAGGGGGGCGTTGTTGAGGGACAGTGAGAGGACATGGGGGCGGGAGGGGCGGCTGTAGGCCACGGTAAGGACTTTGGATTTTTCTTGAACAGGTAGAGGGTCTCAAGCACTGAGAGAAGGACAGAGCAAACGAGACAGAAATGGCAAAGCATCCGGGGGCATCTCATTCACCTACACGTCCAGGGTTCAACACAGGCCCTAGCACACATGCTCGATGGCAGAATAAGACCCAACCGGCCCAGAAAAAGTCAGAATGACGTTAGGTGAACGGACAGGCCCCGGGGACACCCAAGGACGGCAGACACAGACGGCAGCCCCGCTGAGAGCCCTCCCCACCCGGAAAGCTTTCCTGAAGCTGGAAAAATCCCCCAGGCCCCCCGCCCGCCTCACCCGTGGCGTGCCCACTCACACCTCAGGCAGAGGAAGCTGGCAGGCCCCACAGGAACCTTTCTGTGCGGGGCGGGGGGAGGGGGGGGCGGGCGGGCGGCAGGGACGAAGGGAGAGGAGTGGCGGGCAGGCAGGCAGCGGGCAGCAGCTACACAAAGGCCCCAGTGTCTGCCCTCTGCCCCCGGGTACAGATATAAATAATACGTACATATACCTTTATATATATATGTGTGTGTGTGTGTGTGTGTGTGTGTGTGTGTGTATATATATATATATATATATGCACATATCCCAGTGGGCTGGGGCCGCACACTTCCCTCAGCGGCCTGGGCATGGCAGAAGCCTGCTGGGGGCTCAGAGACAGGAATAGAGACTGACACAGAGTCTGGGGCTGAGAGGGCCAGTGACGGAAGGAGAGAGCAAAACTTACCAAGTATGAGAAGAGAGAGGCACAGAGACCCAGAGTCTGACCTGGCCCGAGTGGAGACAGAGAAATCAGACATCACTGAGAAGACAGAAAAGGGAGAAGGGCAGTGACAGAATGCAGACACGGTCGTTCTAGAGAGAGGCAGAGCCAGAGAGACCCGGGTGAGGGGACGAGGGACAGAGAGGCCAGCAGACAGCCAGAGACGCACACACAGGAGCAGGCAGATAGGACGGGGCCAAGGCTGGGGCTTGGGGAGGCTGGTGACTAAGGGGGGAGAGGGGGACGGGGGGGGGCAGGGCACATCTCCGGTGTGGGGGCACCGGCAGTTTGGTCCAGCCCAGTCCGGGGCAGGCGGAGGGGCAGGGCGGAGGTGAGGGAGGTGGCCCTTGGGTTCCGGATCTCGGTGTTTACCTGGGGCAGGCTCTGCAAACAGGCGTCCGGCCTGGCCCATGGAGGGTGGGATGGGGTGGGCCCCAGCGCTGGCACCACTGGGCCCGCCACGCCCACCTGTGGCCTGGGCGGTGAGTAACGCGGTGACACCTGGGTAGATGGTGACACATCGAGGGACAGACATAGTGACACACAGAGACAGATATAGGAACCCAGAGTGTCAGAGACAGACCCACAGGACCCAGGGACAAGGACCCAGTGTCACAGACACACAAAAGACAAGGACAGGACAGGGACACGCGCAGACAGTGACAAACACAGCAACACCTACAGCAACCCACGGACGGACACCGACACAGACACAGGCACACACAACGCCCGCTAGCATGGGGACCCGAGACACATCACAGAGCGAACACACAAACCAGTAGAGGCACAATGACACAACCTGACACCAGGATACACGCGTGACACCCCGCAACACACTGACACGGACATGCAAGTGAACACTCGTACACTGCCTGCACGCCTAGCTTCCAGAGTGTGCCCCCCCACCTTGCAGCCGGTGGTGATGGGGGTGACTGTGCGAAGGTTGGGGAGACCCCAGGGCCCCCCTGGCTGCTGTTGCCCCTCCCAGGCTCTAGAACAGCCTGGCGGTCCGGGGCACTGAGTCTGCCAGACGGTCTGGGTTCAAGTCCCAGCTACCCGACTCTTACTACCTGTGTGGTTGGGGGCACATCCCTCCTCCTCTTCCCACCTCCAGATCCGCCTCCAGGAACAGGTTCCCACACGCCTGACACGGGGAGCCCTGACCCTTGTGGCTATTACTGTTGCCATGGTCACGTCCTATCTTCTGATGCAGATGGCCCTCAGCCCACCCACAGGCCCCTCCTTTGGACCGTGTCGCCTCAGGCCCACCAACTGTGTCTGGGTCCACGGGTTCCCCGGCTTCTCTGGGTCCCCATGGCCACCGTCCCTCCATCCCCAATCCCTGGCGTCCTTGTGTCTGTCCATGCATCCCACGTCCGACCATGGTACTTTTCCACACTGGACGTCAGCCGGCTGTCCCTGGGGTGGAGGTCACACCTGCCCACGCCAGCCGAACCGGTGGCCACTAGACACCCTGACGGATGGCCCCACCCTCCGCCCGGGACCCTACAACAACACCCGCCTCTCCGGCCACCTGAGGTCCCCGCAGGGGCGGCCTGAGGCCCGAGCCCGGGGACAGGAAGCCCCAGGCCTGGCTGCCCTGAAAGCCTCTTTCAGCCTGGGCCTCCTCCCGCCGCCACCGGCTCCTCCTGCGGAATAATATTTGGGCTGTTGGCCGGGGGGCGGGGGCCAGATCCGGAGGCCGCCTGGGAGAAGCCAGAAACCGCAGGGCTTCCTGCCTCAGGCCGGCCGACTCTGGGAGAGACCCCCAGGCCCGAGGGAGGGGGGCAGGCGCCCGGGGAGACTGAGGGCCTTTCTCTCGGCCCCAGTTGTTTTTTCCAGGAACCGGGAGGAATTCCCCAGCCTGCCCAGGACAGCGAGGCTGCAGGGACGACTGACAGGGAGCCAGCACGGCAGGGGGCGGGGGTGACACGCAGCCGGCGGGGCGGGCACAGCGACAGAAATAGAGGGCCCGGCCTGGGCGAGGTGGCAGGTAGAAGCGGAAACTTCGGGAGCTGGGAGAGGGAGACAGAGGGAGAGAGAGGCCAGATCCAAAGGAGGGGTGGGGGGAGGTGGACCCCGAGAGAGAAAAGGAAAGACCCAGAGGCCCAGAGGAGGGACAGAGGTAAAGCCGTGAGAGAATGAGAGAGAGACAGAGAGAGAGAGAGAGAGGCAGACCATATGAGAGACAGATGTAGAGAGTAAGCGAACATTTAAAAAAAAAAAACAAAACAAAACAAAAAAACAAGGGGCAGAGATAAAGGCACAGAGAGAAGCTTAGGGACCAAGTGCCACAGAGAGAGATGACATTCAGAGACGGATGGGCACAGAAACTGAGAGAGACGTCACACACACACACACACACACACACACACACACACACGGTTAAAGAGACAGCCTCTGGTCTTTGAGAGACTGAACACATGGACAAATGGCAGAGCCCATGACCAAGGAAGACAAATGGGAACTAGAAAACACCATTTCAGACAACCGTGCCCACCTGCTCCCGGCTGGCCGCAGTCCACGCCCTCCCTATCCCGGGCTCGGTTTCTGCCTGTGAAACCAGGGCTGTCCGCGGCCGCCGTGGCTCGGAGAGCCATGTCCCAGAACATGGGAGTGACAGGCCTCAGTCTCCGAGCCGAGGCAGAGGCCTGGAGGAACAGACACCCAGGCCCCAAGCCAGGGGCCCCCAGGGGCCCTCCGTGGCCGAAGGACCCAGCTCCTTCCCCACACCCCCGCCTGCAAGAGCGACAGACACACGCCAGGGCCAGGCGACCCTCTGTACAGCGGGGACAGAGCCCAGCACACAGCCATAATATGTAAACACAAGCACACAGATAGATGCTGACACAGATACACATGAAACACAGCACAGTCATACACCCCTAACAGAGAGACACATACCACACACGCAGACACACACACAAGAGTCTGATACCCTAGCCCAGTGGCCGGCAAACTCATTGGTTCACAGAGCCAAATAGCAACAGGACAACGATGGAAATTTCTTTGGAGAGCCACATTTTTTAAACGTAAACTTCTTCTAACGCCACGTCTTCAACATAGACTCGCCCAGGCCGTGACATTTTGTGGAAGAGCCACACTCCAGGGGCCAAAGAGCCGCATGTGGCTGGCGAGCCGCCGTCTGCCGACCGCGGTCCTAGGGCACCCACAGTAAGCACACGCCAAGGTAGGAACAGACGTACAAACCAACACCGTATCGAGATAGAAACAATAGGTAACAATAGACACAATGGTGACCCCAATAGACATAATGGGGACATAGGGTGACCCAGAGGCCTGCGGACACAGGCACACACAGGCGCCAACACCTTCCATTAACACCTTGCTCGTCCCTCCTCCTCCACAGCTTAACCCCAAACCGAGCCGCCCGGGCGTCCGAGCTGAGCAGAGGCGAGGTGTGTGTCCGCAGCGGGGGTGGGGACGTGGCCTTGGTCCCTGCACAGCCACCTCCCCCCACCACCCTGGCCCCGCGCTGCGGGGGCTGCTATCGGTGAGCAAACTGTCCTTGGGGTCAGGGACAGCGCGGAGCCAAAGGTCAGGTCGATGCCTCCCGGGCCCTTCCCCCAGATGCAGCCAGGTTCTGGGGCAGGAAGGAGCAATCCGGGGCTGGAGCTCCATGGACCCCCCCTGCACCCCCCCCCAAGGAAGAGACGTTCCGGAAGAGGCAGAAATGGTGCCTTTTAATGTTCACACATTGCCAGCGTCCCACGTCCCAGGCAAGAACCAGACTCAGCAGGAACTCCCCACCACCACCCCCCGCCCCTGGCGGCCTTCCCGCTCTCTCCGGAGCCAGAGGGCTCAGAGCAAACCACGGGAGATGAGATGCTCCCATCTCCACCCCACACTCGGCCCGCACCCCAAAGAGGCAGTGGCACGGCCCACACAGGGGCTGGTCCATGGATGTGTCAGCCAGCCAATATGGCGGCCGTCAGGGCACCATATGGACCCAGACGGGTGTCCTATGGGGTGGTGGCCAACGTGGCAGGAAGCCCCCCAAAAAGACGTGACCACAACCCCCAACCGGCCCAAGACGATGTCATGGAGATGGCATCACCGTCACACACACACACACACACACACACACACACACACACACACACACACCCCGGTCAGCCATGGGGATGTCCATCTGCATCCAAAGGGCCGACCACAAGGTCACCCCCACTGCGGCCATCGGAGTGACCCCCCCAATGGCTCCACCAACAAGGTCAGTCCCTGGAGGTCTTCACGGCCCCCCGCGGCCCCCCGAGACGTCAGAGGCAGCGGTCACAGCGCCCGGCGGCTGGACGTGATGCCCACGGACGCGGCGGTCCCCGCAGCGAGTCACAGACCGAGGCGTTAACTGGCGGGGACGGGCCCAGGGGGGTCCCGGGAGGACCAGGCCGGACCGGCCCGATGGTACGAGCTATCGACGGTCGCAGCCCGCCTCCCCTCGCTTGTGCCCCGCTAGGAGGCGTTGAGCAGAGAGCGGGAATAGAGGCCCTGATAGTAGACGCCAGGCTCCCCGGCCTCCGCCCCGTAGCCCCCGAACCCCACGTCCAGCTTGGGCGGTGCGGGCGTCTGCTCCGACATGAGGTTGTTGATGGAGAAGGGGTGGTTGAAGTTGTAGGGCAGCTCCAGGCCCGTGAAGTAGGGGGTGGAGGGAGGGGGCGAGCCGCAGTCCAGAGCCCCCACATCCTCCCCCCGGCCCTGGGCCTCGGGCTCCGGCGGCGGCGGCTGGGGCTGGGGCTGGGGCGGAGAGGCCACCGTGGCCGCCGCCGTGGGGGCGGCCGTGGACGACGTGGCGGACCCCGCACTGTTCCTGGCGGCGGCCGAGGCCCCGCCGCCCCCTTTCTTGGCCTTCTCCTCCAACTTGAAGCGCTTCTGGCGGCGCAGGTAGCAGCCGTTCTCGAACATGTTGCCCGAGCTGGGGTGCAGGGCCCAGTAGGAGCCCTTGCCCGGCTTGTCCGGGGAGCGGGCCACCTTGACGAAGCAGTCGTTGAAGGAGAGTGAGTGGCGGATGGAGTTCTGCCAGCGCTGCTGGTTCTCCCGGTAGTAGGGGAAGAGGTCCATGATCCACTGGTAGATCTCGCTCAGCGTCAGCATCTTGCCGGGCGCTTGCTGGATGGCCATGGTGATGAGCGAGATGTAGGAGTAGGGCGGCTTGGCGTGGGCCAGGGACCGCCGGTACCCTTTGGGCACCTCTTTTCCGTGCGCCAGCCCGGTGCCCGGGCCCCCGTACCCGGAGCTGCCGCTGCTGCCACCGCTGCCGCTGGCGCCTAGGCCGGGGAAGGTGGGGCCCAGGGGCGCGGCGGGGGCCGGGGGCGCCAGGGGTCCTGAGGGCAGGGGGGAGGCGGGGAGCCCCCCGGGGGAATAGGGAGAGCTCAGAGGGTTCAGGGTCATGTAGGAGTTGAGGGGGGCCATGGTGGGCACCGGGGTCACCGGAGAGTAAACCTGAATGGAGAGAGGGAGAGAGAGAGAGAGATAGGGAGGGTCAGTGAGTCCCCATTCGTTGCTGGACCCACTGTGTGTGTGTCCGTCCATCCGTCTGTCTGTCTGCTGGCTTTCCATCCTTTCCCCCCACAGACAGCTATCTGTTTGTTTCTTTCTTTCTTTTTAAATATAGTTTATTGATTTTTTTACGGAGAGGAAAGAAGAGGGATAGAGAGCTAGAAACGTCGATGAGAGAGAATCATCAACCAGCTGCCTCCTGCACAGCCCGCACTGGGGATGTGCCCGCAACCAAGGTACATGCCCTTGACTGGACCTGGGACCCCTCAGTCCACAGACCGATGCTCTATCCACTGAGCCAAACCGGTTTCAGCGATAGCTGTTTCTTGAAGTCTTTCTCTCATCCCTCCTCATGCACCCCTCCCTGATCCCATCCCCCACTCCCCACGCTCATGCTTCAAGAGGTCTCCAAGTGGAGACCGGGACACCCTGGGGAGTGGCCAAGGCCTCTTTAGGGTTTAGGATATCTGTGAGGTCCAAACTATTGTCCTGGCCGAAACCGGTTTGGCTCAGTGGATAGAGCGTCGGCCTGCAGGCTGAAAGGTCCCGGGTTTGATTCCGGTCAAGGACATGTACCTTGGTTGCGGGCACATCCCCAGTGCGGGCTGTGCAGGAGGCAGCTGATCAATGATTCTCTCTCATCGATGTTTCTAACTCTCCATCTCTCTCCTTTCCTCTCTGTAAAAAATCAATAAAATAAAATTAAAAACATTAAAAAAACAAAAACAAAAACTATTGTCCTGTAACACTAAGATGGACTAGCCTCCTATCACTCTCCTTCTCTCAAAAGTGCACCGTGGAGGTTTCCAGAGGTCATGTGACATGTGACGTGGCAACAGACTGAACACAGCAGCAGCTACACGAACAGAGCTGCTTCCTATGGCGCAGGCACTGAAGGATCTTCGGAGACCTGACAGTGCCACCCCTCTCAGCGGATGTTCCAAAATATACTCGTTTTCATCAAAACACATTGTTTGCACTAACAAATTATTGCTGCTTTGGAACTATCTAATACATTTACATTTTTTTCCTTCGTTTTTATTTCTTATGTGGTAACCATGAAGAGATATAACCGCCCTGGCCGGTTTGGCTCAATGGATAGAGTATTGGCCTTTGGTCGGAAGGGTCCCAGGTTCGGTTCCGGTCAGGGGCATGTACCTTGGTTGTGGGCACATCCCCAGTAGGGAGTGTGCAGGAGGCAGCTGATCAATGTTTCTTTCTCATCCATGCTTCTAACTCTCTATCACTCTCCCATCCTGTCTGTAAAAAAATCAATGTTTAATTAAAAAAAAAAAAAATATATATATATATATATATATATATATATATATATATATATCCCACCCCAATGAAAACTGCTGGAGGTCCTCCATAATATTTAAGAGTGATTGGTGATCCTGAGACCACCCTCCCACCCCCACCCTGAAATCCAGACATGCTGATTTACCCAAATAACCTAACCTTACATGTGTGCTCTCCATCCCCGAGGTTATAAAATTACAGTGTTTCATTGGTCAAGATGTTTTGACTCTCGGAAATCACGTTTTAACCTCCTATCATCTACTTACTATGAAATCACGTTTTAACCTGGTATCACTACTTACTATGCATCATCAATCTAAGACATCACCGATTGTAAGCTGTAATATTACATATCAGTCGGGATGGGGGGAAAAAAACCAAAAAACAAAAACAAAACCACTGCCCATCAAAACCCCCAGACACCACTGGCGGTGAAACCCGTTCCGTTCTCAGAAACGCTCCATGGTGAGACAACGCGCACTAGTGGAATTCAGCAGACACGGACCCACGGCTCCGTCTCTCTAACCCGCCACGGTCCCCCATCCATTCCGCACGCAGTCACTGGCCACCTGCTCCGTGCCAGGCACCGCTCCCGAGATGCCCATTTCACAGCTGAGCAAGCCGAGTCCCCGAGAGGCTGTGGGGTCACTCAGCCAGGAAGGGGCACCAGGCCGGTGTTCTGGATGTCGCCGTCAGAGCAGTGACCGAGCGGACTGACAGGAAGTGAGCAAGACACGGAAAACACGAAGCCTGGTGGATGGTCCCCTCTCTCTCTGTCTCTTTACTCCCTCCGTCCACTGTCTCCTGTCCTCTCTCCTCCGCCTGCCGGCTGCCCTGCTCCCTCCTCCCCGGCCCTGCTGGTGCTGCTCTAGCCCTGGCAGGAGCCCACGCTCAACCCGTCACTGCGTCCACAGGTCGCGAGGGCCAGAGAGACAAGGGACAGCCAGGGTCACTCCGGAAGTCAGGGACAGGTGGCCACCAACCCAGGTCCGAGTTCCAGCTGCAGACTCTCTCCTCCTTCCCATGTCCGTCCAGGTCTCTGATGCTCCCTGTCTGTGCAGGTAAGTCTGTCCCTTTCCCTTAGCCCGTCCCTCCCCGTCTCTCCTCCCCACACTCCAATCAGTCCTTTATCTCCCCACCTCTCTGCTCCCCACTGTCTGCCCCTCTGCCTTTCTCTGCTCTGGGCTCTCCCTAACCCTCCCCATCTCCCCACCCCAACCCCTACCTTCTCTCTCCCTCTGCCTCTCTCTCCCCCACTCCTCTGCCACCCCCATCTCTTTCTCCTGCAGCACACCTTGTACCTGTGTGCCTCCCTCCATCCGTCGTCCCTATCACGCTCCCCACAGGTCTCACAGCTACTCCCCTCCCCACGCACTGGTCTCCCCGCTTGGCACCTGGCTTCGCCCGCCCCTTGCCGGGAGTGAGAGAGGAGGTGAGACTGTGCCCCAGCCAGGGGATCCACAAAGAGCCCTAAATCCCTCTGCGATGCCCCTCCCACGTTCCCAACTCAGGCAGACTCGCCTGAATCCCAGAGGAAGGCCGATGGGGACCCCAGGGCCTCTTGGCCCGGCTCCCCAACCCACCCACCCACCCACCCGGAAGTCCTCCCTGAGGCCTGACCTCCAGCAGCCCGGCTGCCCTAATCCACCCGAGGCTTTCCCACGCCCTGGGGCTGGGATGAACCCCAGTGTCCGGGTCTGAGCCGGATTTCCCTGCCAGGGCGGGGCTGAGGTTGTGGGGGGAAGCCCTCCGGGGACCTGCACCCCCACCCCAGGAGGGTGAAATTTCTCCCCTTTCATTTCCTTATTGTCTCCGGAGCTGGAGCTGGGTGTGACGGGGAGCCGAGGGGGAGCAGAGGGAGGCGGTGCGAAACCAGAAGACTCCCAGTGTCTGCCCAGAGCCTCACGCAGCCCCCCACCCTCCTGGAGGCTCCAGGGTTTCCTTTCAAAAAGGGGGCGGGGTGGGGGCAGTTGAACCGGCTGACCTGTGAGAACTGGAGGCCAGGGGGGCACAATTTCCTTCCAGGCAGGGAGCCAGCCGGGGGGTGAAAACACCACCCCCAGCAAGGCCGCGTGGAGGGCTAGAAGCAGGGTGGGGGACCTCTCCCTTCTCAGCTGCTGCGTGAGTGCGAATGTTTCTCTCTCCGCAGTCCTGACCCAACGGGGGGCGGGGGGAGGTGGCTCAGCGGAGGGGAAGGCTGGGAAACCCTCCGACAGTATTTCCATCTCCAGCGCCCCAGGTGTCAAAATAGGTCCCCAAAATATACACCCCCCCCCCACGTGCGGATCACCTCCAGACCGGCCTTCACTTTCTGGCACAGGGTCCCCTCCACTTCAACTTCAGCTTGTGGCCCAAATAACAACTGCCCTATCCTAGACCCCCCCCCCCAGTTTACCTAAGCCGTGCCACCCGCCCACACGCCAGTGTCTGGTTGGTTCCCTTAAATCCTAGCCCCAGACTCTGAACTCTCCGGGGCGGTTCAGCTGGGATTCCCCCCACTGCCCGGCAGCCTTCTCGCCTCCAACCTGGTCTCCGCTTCCTGACACCTCCGACCCCCGGGTCTCCACCTCTCAACACTTCCCCACCCCTCCCTGGCCGGCCTGCCCCACCCGGCGTGCACCTAACACCTCCACTGCCCCCGCGCTGGCCCCTCCCGGGCACCGGGCCAAGCCCCGAAGGCCTGGGGATCCAAGAGTCCCACCCTGCAGCCTCAAACCCCAGACCCATAACTCAGGCAGGTGGGGACCCCTGTGGGGCCCAGATCTCAGTTCCCAGAGATCTCTCCCCGGCCTCTCTCCCTGGCCTCCCTCCCGGACCTCCAGCCCACAGCCCCCCCTTCCAGGTGAGGAAGCTAAGCGTCCGGATCCCCATAACCCTCAACTAGGACTTCCTCTCCCCCCACCCCTACGCCTCCACAAGGTTGACTCTGGAGTGCGCTAAGGAGGAGTCCTGGCAGCAAGAGGAATGGGAGGTAGACTTGGGGAAGGGCTTTTGGGGGTGGGGGTGGGGGTGAGGGAGCTAAGACAGACCCCCGCCCCCTAATCCAGGGTGGTCTAGCAAGAAGGGGGCTGGTGAGGACATTAGCAATTACTGGGGAACACAGAGAGGTGTGAAAGCTGACACCCTCCCGCCCCAAAGAAGGACCCCCGCGGAGGGTCTCTGAACACAATGCAGCCAGTGAAGTTCAGTGGGAAGGGGTAAGGGTCAGGAGTAGGCATGGGGGCGGGGAATGGAAATGGACCCCTCTCCTGCTCTCCCGCTCCCAGCTCCGACTCCATCTGGGCCCTCCCGCCTCGCTGAACCCCAGCTCTAACCCACCTGCTACTTCAGACTCCCCCAAAACCAACCTCCATCTCTTATGCCTGAGCCCCTAACCCTTGTTTCTGACCTTACCTTATAGATCGCACTCTCTCTCTCCCTGAACCCCAAGTGATCTCTACCCCAGAACCCGCATCTTGAGCACTCCATTCCAACCCTGAGCTCCCACCTCGCGTTTCCCTTAATGGCGACCCCTTCTCCCGTCTCTTCGTTCCTGCCCACCTCCCCTCCCGCCCCCCGATCCCGACTCTGATCCCCTTCCCAATTCCCCAGCCCTGCCTACCCCTGCTACCTGCTCTCCTGGAGGTCTGACTCCTTCCTAGCTTTGGCTTAGTTCCTGTGTCTCCCTTGCATTTGGGGTCGCCCACCTCCAGCCCTCACGTTGCAGCGGTGACCTGACCCTCGCGTGCCCCCCAAGTTTCCCTGGTCCTCACTGACCCCTCACCCCGACGAGCCCGCGGGAACCGCGCTCCCGCCGCGCCTGTCCCTGGTCCCCGGCGCCGGGGCACCTGGCCTCCGAGTCTCCAGCTCCTCTGCGCCTCAGCTCTAGCCGGAGCCCCCCTTTGAGCCCGCACCCCGATCATCGCCCCCAGGTAAGCCCCGCACCTCGAATCCCCTGTCCCCCACTCCCCGCCCCGCCAGCCCCGCGGACACACCTCGCCCGCCTCCGGGTAGTAGCTCCACTCCGCCAGGTCGTGGGCCTCCATCTTCACCGAGCCCAGCATCCCCCGGGCCTGCGCCCCCACCTGCCCCCGCTCCGGCCCGGTGGGGGGGAACCGAGCGCTCCGATCCCTCGGCCCGCACGGCCCGCGCTCCGACCGGCGCCCGCGCGTCCGTCCGTCCGGCTGCCCAGAGTCCCCGCCGTCCCGGGCGCCGCGGGAGGCGGCCCAGCTTTATAGCCGGGGCGCCCCCCCCCCCGCCCCCGCCCCTGCCCCCGCCCTCCCCGGGCGCCCCTCCCGCGCTCGGGCTGGGGCGCCCCCTGCAGGACTGCGAGGAGACAGACCTCAGGCGCCGGGAGCCGCAGCCCGCGGACCGCGCGCTGGACGTGGCCGAAGCGGGAGGGAGCTACCGGTGGGAGGCACCGCTGGTGACAGAGGCCCGGAGGGCAGGACTCGGGCCCTCCTACCCCGGAGGGCTTCAACGTCTAGACGGGAGAGGGAGAGGAGCCAGAGCTGGGCATGACCGCCGGGAGGAAGGGGCCTCCGAGCGCGGGGGGCTCCCGGGCTCCAGGGACGCCGCCATCGGGACGGGTAAGAGACCCCGAAACCACATTCCCATCGGACGGGCTGGACCACGGACGCTTCCAACAGATGGAAACGCCCCAAACTGTGCAAAGGGTCGGGACCCAACGTGGAGGCGATGGGGGCCTCAGCTCATGCACTCCTTCGGGCCCCGGACCGCCTTCAAGACGTAGGAGCCACCGCCACCCAGACTCGGCACGCTCCCTCTACCATCAGCCGTCCAGGGACTCCGACCCACCGGACTCCATTTCCCAGAAGCCTCTCTTCCCGCCCCGCGCCTCCGCCGAGGGACTGCATTTCCCAGAAGGCACGACGTTCGAAGGCCGGAAACGGAGAGCCGCCCGGAGTCTTCTGGGGCGGGAGGCCGCTCGCGCGCCTGGGCTCGGCCTGCTGCGCGGACTCCATTTCCCGGCGAACCCGCGCGCGCCGCGCGTGCGCCGTGCCGGGCGGCGAGCGGAAGATGGCGGTGGCGGCGTCAGGGAAGGGGTGCTGCTGAGGGTGCGCCACGGGCCGGAGGCCGGAGGCCGGAGCTGCGGTGAGCGGGGCGGGCGTGGGGGTCCGGGGCCCAGGGTGGAGGGACCCTGAGGCTGCAAGGCGCTGGCGGAGGGCTGGGGGCGCTTCGAAGAGAAGGCGGCAGTGACGTTTGGGACCCCGATTTCTTCTGCTCGAGGACCCTCCCGTGCTCCCCTCGGGGCAAAGTTCCAACGTGGGCCCCGAGGCATGTCCGCCCCGGGCCGCAGCTCTGCCTCCGCTGTCCCTGCTCCTGCCTCACTTGCAACAGCCGCTCTGGCCTTGGGTTCCTCAAACAAGCCATGCGCCTTGCGGGAGTTTTGCACATGCTGCCCCTCTGCCTGCAAACATCCTCTCACCCCATTTCTGCTTGGCTAACTCCCATTCATCCCTCGGGTCTCAGCACCAACGTCACTTCCTCTGCCTAGTCGTCCTTTCCTGTCCTCTGTCCCGAAATCTGCCTCTTAAACGCTCTCCTAGGTCCCAGTTCATTTGCTTTGTGTCACAGGGGATCTAATTTGGTTTTGGACCTTTATTTGTTTGGCTATTTGAATAATCAAATACCGTGTGAGCTCCATGGGGCCGGGACTGGGTATGTATGGTCACTGCTGTGTTCCCAGCACAGTGCTGGTCACATTGACGATGCCCAGTTGTTTGTTGAATGAATGAATGAATGAATGAATGAAGATACTCTTGGGGCCATTCTGTCTGTGAGGGTAGTTATCGCACTCCCAGGTGGGAGTGAGGCAGTGGTACTCCGAGGGGGGTACCGCTGGAAGGAAGGGGAAACAATGGTCACTGATAATAGCAAAAGACTGCACAGGCCACTGGTGTCCTTTAATAGGAAGACTGGCAGGAAAAAAATCCACATAATAAAACACTGTTCAGCTGTAAGAAAGAACGAGAGAAATCTTTGCACACTGATCTAGAGAGGGCTCCAGAATATGGTAATGAAAAGTGAAGTGGTGTTTATTATATACTTCCTTTTTATTAAAGAAAGGGAAATATGCTGAGACCGGTTTGGCTCGATGGATAGAGTGTCGGCTTGGGGACTGAAAGATCACGGGTTCGATTCCAGTCAAGGGCATGTACATTGGTTGTGGGCACATCCCCGGTAGGGGGTGTGCAGGAGGCAGCTGATCGATGATTCTCTCTCATCAATGTTTCTAATTCTCTATCCCTCTCTCTTCCTCTCTGTAAAAAAATCAATAAAATATATTTTTTTTAAAGGGAAATATGGATATAAACTAAAAAAAAATGGAAGAGGAAGGACAGGTAAAAAAAAAGATTGATGGATCTGAACGTATCATCATGAAAAGAGTGGAAAAGTTCATCATGAGAAGCTCATCATGCTCAAATGGGCAACGGGTTTGCTGGGCGTTGGGAGGCAGTGCCCCTTGGCTTGCACTCACAGACCTGGAGGGCAGAAACAGTTCCTTTTAAAGAGACAGTACAGCACAGCGGTGAGGGAGCTAGGCCTCACTCCTAGGTCTGCATCTTACAAACCGTGGGCCTTTGGTCAGGGGACTTTTCCTCCCTGGCTCAGTTGGGTGTCGCCCCAGGATGGAAAGGTTGCTGGTTGATTCCTAGGCAGGGCACTTGTCAGGTTTCTGGCTCAATCCCCAGGCGGGAGTTTGCAGGAGGCACCAGATTGATGTTTCTCACATCAATGTTTCTCTCCCTCTTCCTTCCTCTCGCTCTAAAAATCAATAAAAATAAATTTGAAAAGTAGTACCGACCTGGAAGAGTTGGCGTTGTGAGGTTAAATAAGTTCATACATAATAGCGTTAAGCCTGGCCAGTGTAGCTGAGTGGATTGAGTGTGGTCCTATGCACCCAGAGGTCGCCGGTTCTGAGTGGATTGAGTGTGGTCCTATGCACCCAGAGGTCGCCGGTTCAATTCCCAGTCAGGGCACATGCCCAGGTTGTGGGCTCAACCCTGCAGGAGGCAGCGGATCGAGGTTTCTCACTCGTAGATGTTTCTGTATCTCTCCATCTAAAATCAATAACATTTAAAAGAAATAAAATAAAGTCAATAACATTTTTTTTAAAAAGAAAAGAAAAGAATCATTTTGCTTAGAAAATTATAGTGGTTATTTTTCAAACATTCTAAATTTTTTAAAATATATTTTTTAATTGATTTTAGAGAGGAAGAGAGAGAGAGAAACATCAATGAGAGAATCATGGATCAGCTCCTGCACAGCCCCTCTGGGGATTGAGTTGGAAACCCGGGCATGTGCCCTGACAGGGAATTGAACTGTGACCTCCTGATTCATAGATCGATGCTCAACCACTGAGCCACACTGGCTGGGCTTCAAACATTCTAGATCCAAAGTCAGGGATACTAAGCCCAGTGACTGGGGAAGCCCTTTGGCATTCACTCAGTAGATAATTACTGAACACTTATTAGGTGTCAATCACTGTTCCATAGTAGGGAAATAGAAAGTAAACACACACACACACACACACACACACACACACACACACACACGCGCGCGCGCGCACACTCATCTTTGCCCTCAGGGAGCTTACTAATAGGTAGTACATTGATGATAAATGCAGAAAAATAAAGCAACACAGCCGAAACCGGTTTGGCTCAGTGGATAGAGCATCCATCTGCGGACTGAAGGGTCCCAGGTTCGATCCCGATCAGGGGTATGTACCTTGGTTGCGGGCACATCCCCAGTGGGGGGTGTGCAGGAGGCAGCTGATTGATGTTTCTCTGATGTTTCTCATCGATATTTCTAGCTCTCTATCCCTCTCCCTTCCTCTCTGTAAAAAAAAAAAAAAAAAAAAAAAAAAAAAAAAAAATCAATGAAACATGTTTTAAAAAGAAAAGAAAAATAAATAAGTAAATAAATAAATAAAGCAACACAGATGGGGAGGGAGAGGAAATTGAAATTTGAAGTAGGGTGGTCAGGAAAGACCTCACTGCCAAGACATTTCAGCTGAAACCTGAAAGGAAGAGGAGGGAGGGAGCTGGGCCAGCGTCTATAGAGGAGGAGTATCCCAGCAGGAAGGGGAGAAGCACAAAGGTTTGGGCAGGGGCATGCTTGGCATATTTAAGGGACCACAGGAGGCCGGAGCTGAGGGAGGTGAGGGAAGTGAAGGCAGAGGTAGGAGGGGCCAGATCACAGGAGGTCTCTAGGCCTTGGTGAAGATGTTGGCTTTGACTCGAAGCAAGATGTGGGGGTGACGGGCAGAAAGGGAGACCAGAAAGCAGGCTATTGGCTAGTCTGTCGTTTAGCAGATACCTGTGTACAGTATATATGTTCCTTTTAAAAGGTGTATATATTTTTAGGTATATATTTTTATTTTTATTTATTCTTTATATATATATTTTATTGATTTTTTACAGAGAGGAAGGGAGAGAGATAGAGAGCTAGAAACGTCTATGAGAGAGAAACATCGACCAGCTGCCTCTTGCACACCCCCTACTGGGGATGTGCCTGCAACCAATGTACATGCCCTTGACCGGAATCGAACCTGGGACCTTTTAGTCTGCAGACCGACGCTCTACCACTGAGCCAAACCGGTTTCAGCTAGATATATATTTTTATTGATTTCAGAGAGGAAGGGACAGGGAGAAAAAGAAACATCAACGCTGAGAGAGAATCATTGATCGGCTGCCTCCTTGCCCACCCCACACCGGGGATCGGGTCTGCATGTGCCCTGACTGGTAATGGAACCGTGAAGTCCTGGTTCATAGGTCAACACTCAACCATTGAGCCACACCAGCTGGGCTCTTGTTTGTTTGTTTGTTTGTTTAAAATATATTTTTATTGATTTCAGAGTGGAAGGAAAAGGGAGATAGAAACATCAATGATGAGAAAGAATCATTGATCCGCTGCCTCTTGCATGCCCCTACTAGAAATCCAGCCTGCAACTCAGGCATGTGCCCTTGACCAGAATGGATCCTGGGACCCTTCAGTCCGTAGGCCAATGCTCTATCCATTGAGCCAAACCAGCTAGGGC